TTGGGCTTGATAGGTGTTTACAATTTTATACACAGAGAAAGAATACCGAACATATTTTACGTTCCCAGAAGGGTGATGTACACTTCCTGACGACGGAGAGATGATTTACAAATGAACCTAACAGCCCCTTGAAGACTCTTGCACGTCGTAACTCGCCAGTTTCTCGATTAAGGTTGTACAAAGCCTAGTAGTGTTGCAATCGATCTTCTTTTGTATTTATTTCTCAATAAAGTGTCTTTCATGCGCGCACAATGAAAATCAGTCCCTCGCCTTCTTTTCATTTTGCTTTCTCTCTCGTTTCTCGCCAACCCCTCCTATCTTCATTTTTCTTACACGCGAGCGTACGCCCACGCAATTGCACAAATATGTGCATACATATGCACAGAGCACACACGCACGCATAATAATTCACGCAATAATACGCAACATTTTTTTTCTCTCACTCATTCGTTCATTCAATTTGCTCACTAGCATCGTTTTGCACTTCGTGTTCCGCACACGCATTATCTCTCCCTCCCTCTCTGCCATTATTCGTTTAGTCACGCGCTCTCAAACCAAGCGCTGAAAACCAAGCAGTATTACTATTATTAATTATTATTATTACTATTATTATTATTTTACCATTATAATTATTATTATAATTATTATAATTATTAATGTTATTATTCAATATTATTTGTTGGTATCCGCTTAATATATAATATATTATCCGCGATGTATATATATATATATGTATATATATACATATATACACACATATATATATGTATATACATATACTTTTTTCTTTCATATAAACTCAGTGTTCCAACCAAGGTGGGTGTGACACAACCAAGGTATATAACACATACTGCCCGATGTATATGCGTGCGCGACATCGGCGGAGTCTAATGACGTTTCGAATCGTTATATTACGAATCGTGTCCGTAACGAGAAACTTCTCAAACTCGATCGATGTCACGTAGAGAGAATCGTCTCTATCAGCGCGGCGTACTCTCCGGGTTCGCGCGCGACTTCCACTATCGCTATTCCTCGCGATTATACCTGATGGGAGATTATTCTCGAACTGGGAGAATCGTCTCACGTAAACACTGTGCGTTATCGTGAGCAGAGTTCATTTCTTACCCTTCATATCATTTCCACCTTCGAAAAAACTGGCAAGGTCCGGCTTGTCATTCCTCTTCGTGTTCGGTTTCCGCGCTTTGGTCATAATTCTCTTTTTATAACACGCTAGAAAAATCTTGATTTCGAAATCAACAAAGATGAAAAAAAGAATCTTTCGTTTCTCCTCACCGACTTCGACGACTACACTGTGTATTCGTGAAATTTTGTTTCTTTCTCATCAGCTATCTCGTTTCTTTCATCTAGAGCCTATAGAGAAAGAAACATTGACAGCTAATCTCGGTCACGTCTCTTGTCTCTTTCCCTTCCGCGCTTTTCTGTTACCGCAAGGATTTGCAGAGAAAATCGGAGCTTTGAGAAGATATCGAACCATCGGAGAGTACGAGCAACGGGCAGCGCGCCAGCCAGCATTTGACCGAGCGCAGGCAGTGAGCAGTTCATATGTACGTACACTGTATAATGTGGATACGGGGCGAGCGAGAAGCATGAAGCCCCCCTCTTTCAAGAGAGAGGAGACCCATGGTCCTGACTGCGCGCGGTGGCTGTGCCGTTGCAAGGGAGGGCGAGAATCCGACGAAGGGAGAAACCGTAACGAACTCCTCCTTCCTCATCACATTCGAGGATCTTACCCTCGCAAGGGACGACGCTCATCTACAAGAAATTTTTCGTTCTTAAAGATATCGCCTTCGCAAATCAGGATGAGATACCCCGAGAAAATCATCAAGACCTTTTAGGAATTCGTCTCTGCATGTCGGAACCTCTCGTTTTCGAGGAATTTGCTCTTGCAGACTCCGAAGGAGTTTCAGGAAGGATTCGCTCGCAGCTCAAGAAACATTCGCCTCGCACAATTCGCCGGCAGAGAGAGGAGACGGCAGAGAGAGATATCTGCGGGCTCCTCCCGCGCGCCATAATTACCTAAGTCACATCGAACAGACGCAATTTCCCGCAGTATCTTTCGTTTCCACAAACGCCAAGTTTCCTTTAAATCTCTCGTATATACGCTCGCGCGCGCGCGCGCGCGCACGCCACACACACACACACACACACACACACACACACACACACACACACACACACACACACACAC